CACTTGGGCCCTGCCGTGCATTTGGGAGAACAGGATGGAGTGCTTAGTTTCCAGTTTCAGCTTTGCCTGGATCTGGCGCTTGGGGAGCCATCTGGAAAGAGAACTAGAAGATGTACCCCAACACACCTCCCCGCCGTGTGTGTGTGTGTGTCCCCTTCTCCTTCTTTCAAATGAACCAGTCTTTTTTTTTAAATTTCATGGAATCAGGTAGTTGTCAGTGTTGGGATCCCATGAAACAAACTTTAGTTCTGAACTGTAAAAGCAGCTCCCAAAGAGCCTACGACATTGGTCTCTAGTGCTTTTGGTCACTGGCCATGGTGGTTTTCACCATTCTATTCTATGAATAATGGAATAATTATCATTGTTTTGAGCCCTCTCTGGTCAACTACGTTTCTAACTTTTGAGCCCGTATCTTAACACTTGTTAGTCTAGCATTTAATTCTGAAGTTTCCTTTCCCATAGAATCTTTCGCTCATCTGCACCAGAGAGACTTTGCGTGTTATGTTGAAATGTTCTATTTACTGTTTTGCCTTCTCCATCAGAGTGTAAGCTCTGAGAAAGCATGAAGTGTTCAGTTCACAACTGTACCCCATGCAAATCTGGAATATTCTTAGTAAATAATTGCTGAATGATTGAGATGATATTGAGTGTTTTACTGCTGTTACAACTACTTCTACCAGCACCATCATCACCACCTCCATTCCTACCTTCACCATCGCCATCATGAGCATCCCCACCACCACCAGTACCACCTTTGTACTACATCTGGTGCCTACGCCTCTTGGGAAACTGTTTACTCAGGGACCCAGAATCTCTGGCTGCTTAACTTCTCAGACTTACTTCTTTCTCTGCCTATTCCCCTATTTTAAAACTTGCCTATTCTTGTGATCCATTTCCTTGGGGCCTTGTTCTTTTCTGGAAGGCAGATGCTGAGTTCGATGCAACAATTGCATTATTGGTAATAACACGTTGGTAGTGGCCCTCAAAGGTAATATGGTCTGGAAGTCAAGACAGTTTCCAGTACTAGAGCACACATTTATCTGTTGCATGACCTTGAGCGAATGACATCACTTCCAAGGGACTCTCCTTCCTCTCCAGGAAGATCCCCGGAGACTCGGCCGACTTTCACAGCAGGCTCTGTGCTGGGAAGTGAGACATTCATGGCCCCACAGCGACCAGGCAAGCCATAACCTGCACTTAACAGGCCACTGCATCGGCAGCTTCATGTTCCAGGGGGAATTTCTCTGCCCACAGTCCCTGCAAGATCCAATCAACCATGGGCAGCGAAACAGGCCTGGTAAGGTAGCCACCCAGCAGTGGTGCCATGCCGTCACCACTGTCCTTCCTTCTCCCTGGGATCATGCTGTTCTTGTCACAATGTGTCATGACACAATTGTTTGATAGTCTGTCTGCAGGCTCAGAATGCAGGGCTGGCTTCCTCACAGCTATTTAGAGCTACCAACGAAATGCTTCATTAATGCCAAATGGATGGAAAAAGTTTTCAGATGGCACAAAGCAGCATCCTTAACTTCGCCTGGCCCGTTTCCTGGCACATTTCTGGGTGAAGGCTGTCACATCAGAAATGAGGTGGAAAGAAAACAGCCATCAATCAATGTAACTTACAAAAGAGGAGGATGATTTGGTGCAAGTTTTTATTTTTCCAATTTCCTCTCTCCCCGTTTTCTCTCTTAAATCGGTGTCTGATACAGCGCCGGGAGAAAGATATCACTCTGCATTTAGAAGACGTTGTTTGAAAGCCGGCTTATGTAAGGTTATAACATCTCAGGCTCAGTCCCTAGACAACGGATTACAGGAGTTTGGGGCTTTCTCTTGAGAAAAATGCAAGATCCCAACGCTGTCTAGGTTGTCATAAACATTTCCAACTTAGACCTCCAAGTGAAATAACATCAACTCCAAGTAACAAGAGAAGATGCTGAATTTATAAAGAACCAAGACACAGGCATGGGGGGGCGTCGCTTTGAAGAATAAAGGGACGTCCCCGGGAGAAAATCTCTGTGCTACGCAGCAGATACGGGACTGGTATCCCCGAATACAGAGCTCCAGAAAGACAGCAGCGGCAGAAGTGAGGCCTGCAGGACTTGATGTCTGCATCCTACGTTGCCGTGTCAGTATGAGTCCTGGCTGCTCTGCGTCCAGTCCAGCTCTCTCCTGATGCTCCAGGAGAGCAGTAGATGCTGGCCCTGACACCCAACTGGGAGAACAGAACCTTGGACAATACAGCAGAAGAACCAGAGATATGAGGAGTGAGAACCAATTGGTTTTAAACACATGAAGAGGACAGACAGACTGTCTGTGGGCAAGAGGTTTGCACAGGTCATAAGCTGAGTGAGAGACTTGGGTGCCTCGGTCCTCACCATAGGTCTGTTTTACTCCTGGGGTCGGGGGTTCCTGGGTTCCTGGTAGTAACCACAGACATTTTCAGTTGTCACAGCTGGTAGAGAGAAAGGGATTTTTGGCATCTCCTAAGTGGAAGCCGCAATGCTGCTGACCACCCTACATCGCACAGGAACAACAGTTACCCAAGGTCCCACAGAAACAACAGTTACCCAAGGTTACACACACTGTATCACACAGCCCACACTCCTCTTGTCATTAGAAGTCTGGAACAAGTTGGTTATGAGCTACGCTTTTTTTTTTAAGCCTCAGATCCCTCCACCCCATCCTGTTCACTGGTCACTAATTGCCAACCTCTGGCGTTAGAAATGGCACAGCATACAGATGTGTCCTGCAGGGCCCTCTCTTTAGGTGCTACTCTGTCTTGTCTCCACTCGGCTCCACTCTCTCTGGGTACTTATTCCCAGTGTTTCCTACACAACTTACTAACAGGAAAGTACTATCTTCCTTCGCTTTCATCTCAGTCAGTGTGAACTGAAGTCCATGTGTTTGGCCTCCCTAGAGAACTGGCATGTCCCTTGTCTTTCTGACTCGCTTGACAGAGGTTTGCAGCCTCAGTGGCTTGGCTGGGGAGTGTTGGGTGGACACTTAGAAAACCACACAGCAGCCAGGGCGCACCTGGAACACAGGCATAGTTTGTCTAGCTGGGACTGAACTGAAATCAACGAAGGTCTCCCACATGGGTGGCAGGAATTCAGCCACTGCCAGGGTCGGCACTGGCAGGAAGCCGGAGACAGCAGCCAGAGCCGAGCTAGATCCCAGGAACTCTGGGAATTTTAACTGCCAGGCTGAATCTGTTTTCTCAGACAAATCTCTGCAATACGTGAAGATCTTCTACTTGTGTTCTTTACATACATTCAACAATTTCATCTGAAATTTCCAGGATTTGTGAGCAGCAGAGCTCAACAATGAGAAAACAGATGTCGCTCCCTACCGAATACGTATGATCTTTCTTGAGTTTTTGAAGGCTCAATATTTTAGTTTTAAAAAAATCACGATAAATGATTTTGGAAAGATTCATAGAGCTATTGTAAGGGTTCGAAGAGACAGCAAACGTGTGAGAGTTCTGAAAGCCATCAATGTTGTTGCACATGTAACAATGGCATGCTGGAAACAGGGATATGGCTTCAAAGGACCAAAGAGGATCTCTGTCCCTTCACACTCAAGAGTTGTTCCAGAATAAAATCGCCCCCCAAACCAAACCAGTCCTCGATTGTCTGTCTGCGTCTAAGCCCTGTAACTGGGTTCTGTATTTTCAACATTAGAACTTAACAGGGGGTCATGAGTACTAGGACCTCAAGGCCGTTGGGCTTTTTCACTTCAGTCCTTCAGTCCTGCACAGTCTGCTCGGCCAGATGCTACTGGAGACAGTATACAGTCCTCTAGTCCTCGTTTGCGTCCCGCTTGCATTGGCTTGTGATAGGCAGCGAGGTCTGGGCCAGAAAGGCTGCACACAGCGTGTGCGTGAGCTCAGCCTGCGCAGCGTGCCATTGGAGACTGCTTTAGAAGGAATGCGCCATATTCCATCTCTGCCAGCTACCGGCTTCTCTTCTCACAGAAAGCTTGATAGTGTAACTTCTGAGATGAAGAAAGCAAGGCATGTTGCCCATATTACAAGAAAAACAGTGACAGAGTGTGGGTCTCATACAAGTGTCTTCCAAAGTTTGTGAAAAATGCATACCCAGAAAAAATGGTGCACAGATCTGCTTTTTACTGTTGCATCAAAAATAAGCTTATCCTTGATTTCTAGTTTCCCATGAGTGTTTCAAAGTTCCCTTGTGTAATTTATAAACAGCTAATTATAGAGTTCCAAATTCTTTAGAATTCACTGTCTTTTTCACTGTGCAACCTAAATCAACAACAAAAAAGCAAAACAACGTCTCCACGTGTTAGTCTCTACCTTGGCTTTGCCAGATCCACTACGTCTTTTTTTTTTTTAATTTACATGTGGCTTAGTTCTTTTCGAAATATTTATTTCAGAATAGCTTTACATTTACAGAACAAAATTATGAAGTACTGCTAGCATTCCCCAAAACCCTATACTTCCCCAACTGCCAACCTCTTACATTGGGATGGTACATTGGTCACAATTACTGTCCCACACTCAGCCTCCTCTGCTTTCTGTCCAATTCCCTCTGTCCCTTCCAATGATGCAAAAACCTTCCTTCTTAAAACGTAACCGACACCGTTCACTTCATATCACCCTCAGACAAACACTTTCATGTGGATAGTATTTGCTTTGTTTTACTTGAAAGAATGCATAAAGCAAGCTCAAAGATAGAATTCCGTCAAAGGATGTTTTAGAAAATTGAGGGAACTTGCTAGTATAAAACTTTTTTTTTTTTTTTTAGTATTTGTAAGACATATTACTCAACTTGATAATGCTTTAGGAATAGTCTGCCCCTAAACTGGACTTAACGCACTTTTCTTTCACCAAGTACTGGCTCTGTGCTGAGCACATCAGAATGGTGTGGGTCTAGGCAGGTCCCAGCCAAGTGAACTCACTGTTTGGCAATTCTTAAATGAACTGACATTCACATCCAGGGCAAATGGTGCACGTTCAGTACTTAGAAGCAGTTTCTTACCATTGCAGAGCCGACGCGGCTGACCTTAATGGGATTTCCTCTGCCAGAAAGATCCATTTGTGCCCTGTCCATCACATACAGGCAAGCATCAAGGATGTCTTCTTCAAACTATGGGGGGTGGGGAAGAAAGAAAAATCACTTAATCTCTACTCTCCAAACAAGATATTCTCAGCTTAAATAAAATAAAATTAAAATGAAGCTCTCATCTAATATTTTGAACTGTGTTATTTCCTGGGTCAGTATACTCATCTCCCAGACGCTCTAATGACCAAGATTAGAATGAGAGAATGGTGACATCTTCCTTTATTTTTCAGTAAGGTGAACAAGAGCATGAAAGCAAGTCAAAAATGAGAAGCAGAAGCAGCAGAGAGCTGACGTACTGAGGGGTGTGAGCTGGTTCGAGCTTGTTCAGAAGGGCGTGCCAGTTAATTGAGATGGCCAAAGCAAATGGATGAATGATTTGCCAAAGCTACAGATTAGAGGTCTCAGAGGTGGCACCAAGTCCCTGTGCATCCTGAAAATAAGTGGATCTCAAGGGCATCACACGAAAATGCTTCAGGCTTATTTGGCTTGCACTACAAACAGCAAGAGACCGTAAGCAGCAGGCATTCCTCTATGGTTTCCCCTCTTTTGAAACAGCAAGGACCCTGCAGTTAAAGAGGGCAGAAAGGCCTAGAAAGTAGATCGCATTGTTGCAGGGAGAGCAATATTGTCAGTTTAATTTCATCAGAAAGAACTGCTAGTCAAGCCATACCAGAATTGTCTCAAGAAGGGAATAAAGATAAAATAATAGCATGATAGCGAGATGAATCCTACCCACATTGTACCTTGTGGTTTAGTTCAGAAACCTTGCATACCATCTTCCCAAACACCCAGGACAGACAAGACAATCTTAATGGTGAATTCCCATGGGACTTTGGATTAAACCCTGTTAGGATATCTACTCTGCATAGATCTCAAACTATTGTGATAGAGCAATGGGCAACCATGCTTATTTTTCAGGCAAATAAACAAGCCATTCTTCTGGTTCCTATTAAGCAGCTTCTCTCAGTTGTATTCATGGCATATGGAAGCAACTAAGTGGAAAGCTAAAGCGCTGGTCCAGCACGCTGACAACCATCATGGCTGCTTGCTATGGCAGAAGGACCCGAAACAATGGCCCCATGGAATGATCCAAGTCAAACAATGTCTCTGCTCCAAGGCAGGCTGGCCAAGGATACCTGCACAGCTCTCTCTGCTGTTCACTTTGGTGCCCTTCCTTTCTGTTAGCTACCCAGAGATGGTTCCATGGGGGCTGTTGCAGAATCTCATCTAAAGGCTGGGGTTAAAGGACCTAAGCAACGGACCAGACAACAGAGTTAAAGGTTTCATTCCTTTGGTGATGAGGAGGGCATGGCACCACGAGGCCAGGTAGGAATCTCCAAAATGTGCAAGCAGAGAGCATGTAGCACGGCAGGATGCTGGGCTCGCTGTGTGTATGCCATTCTCCGCAGTCACTGAGGCTGGTGAGCATTTGGAAGCTCATGATGACACAGGCATCGATGGCCAGGATGAATCAGTGAGTGATGGACGCAGAGGGAGCCCATGTGGAAGTCGAGGGAAGGGTTAGAAGCTAAGTGTCACGTGATCTGGCACAGCCAGGCCCTCCGAAGTCTCTGTCCTGGTCACCCAGAGGCGTGATGTGTCCTTCATCTCTGCCCAAATGGCGGGAAATGACACACTCACCTCTTGTTTTGCCAATGAAAAACCATTTGTTTACAGAGACATGGGAAAGTGGCATTCATTTGCTCCATTGTGAATGACTTCAAGCTGACCTATTATGAAATGAATCATGAAATGTCACTATCAAGACATCAACTTGAGGTGGCTGCTGATGAAATGGCTTACAAAAGCCCAGTGAACCCTCCTTTGAGGAAATGGTTACGCTCTGTTCTAATTAGCCGTATCTTAGACTAGCACTGTTGTAAAAAAAAATTCTTTGAGTTGGGCGCACACCTCGCCGTCTTGAGTTGATCCATTGTAGCTTGAGTTAATGAGATTTCAGTGCACGGAGATGTCATGTTTTAACAGGAATCTTAGCTCTTTGTGATGATATCCAAGGACGTGCAGTTTCAGCTGATAAGTTATACAGTCCTCCTCTACTCTTACGTATGCTATCTTACAGTGTCAGGCAAAGAGAGAAACTGTGCTTGTCTCCTACGACTAGGCGGCACCCTGCAGGGATACAGGCGGAAGACTGCTAAGTGAGAGTGTCCTTGGCAATGACAAATGACCAGCAGCTCACCTGACCGTAGCTCCAGCTCCTACTCTTGATGTTACCGACGTCTCCGTAGAAGATCACTCCGATGTCGTTCAGGACGTACTCCTCTTTCTCCTTCTCATCATCCAGGTAGACAGAGTCCTCTGCATCAGGATATGAGCGGGAAGACCATCAGTAAACCACACCACCTTCAGATCCTCACACGTTTATTTTGCTTTTTGTCTGCAGCTGAATCAATTCAGTGGAGAAAAAGCCTTGTTCTACCAAGCATAGCTCATTTCCCAGTTTTGTTTTTAGCAAAGATGAATGTAATCAGCATCAAAGACCAGTCTGCTAATAATGACGTTCGTCAGCAGGATGCTGACGCGCTGTGGCTCTTGACATTGCCAGTAGCCCAATTAAATGGACATGTTTCATCAAATGTCTTATGGTTCCTGTATAACAGTGGTTTCAGAATCAAAATTCTGTAATGCAGATGCAAATATGCAACCTGGATCACTAGTTAGCTTCCGATAGGTTAGACAAGACATGCTGAATTGAAAATAATCTTTCAAGCCAAATCTGGGGCACAGAGGACTGTAGCGTCTTCGCCATGCCTGGTTTGTGGCTGATCACAGAGGAGCAGGAAGGCCAGAGGTGGTCTCATTTTAACAGAAAACTCCCCACGGATGTGTTGGGAGGGATGTGTCTAACCAACCTCCCTGTTCGGGTTTCTAAGGGCTTGGCTTCAGTCTCAGAAGGCCGCCTTCCCAACCACTACAGTCCGTTACCTCTGCCCCCCCCCCCCCCCCGTGGGAACAGCACAGCATCTTTGACATGGGCTGGGCCATGCAGTGTGGGTCATACTCATTACGACAGTCAACCCTGGCTCTCAGTAGGGACATAGGCTATTGGGTTTCTCTGGTCCAGATCATCTGCCATTCCCATTGCCTTTCTAGATCCTTGATCTCATTCTCTGATCAAGTTCTTAATCTCGCTATTATTTTAAAGATTATTTTAGTTTGAAAGGCAGCATTATGGAGAGAAAACAAGCAGAAAGAGCTTCCATTCACTGGTTCACTTCCCAAATGATCACAACTGCTAGGGTTGGGTTGGTCTGAAGCCAGGAACCAGGAGCTTTGTCCATGTCTCCCATGTGGGTGTAGAAACCCAAACACATGAGCCATCCTCTGCTGCTCTTCCAGACCATCATCAAGGAGTGGATGGGAAAGGGAGCAGACAGGACGTGAACCAGTGCCCATATCACATCCCAGCATCACAAATGCTGGATCTTCTATGACATGGTGCCAGCCCTTTACTCTCTTTAGAGTAGTAATGTTCAATTTTGGCCTGATGTGCAGTGTCATCTGGGAGATTTTATAAATCCTGATATTCAACATTCAGGCTGAATTTCAGATTCCTTAAATCAAAATCTCAGGGGGATGTGGGGCCTAGAGGGAGATTTTCAGAATTCCCATGCACCCTATACCTGCCCCCATGCTGATGCGCAACCCAGATTGAGAACCCATAGCCTCTGACTGCTCAACTCGTGGCTCAAAGAGCTGCAAGATTAGTATTGCCTGGGATTGCGTGAGAAAGGCAGAGTCAGGGGCCTCCTTCTAGGCCCACTGAGGCTGTCTTTGCAATTAACAAAATCCCCGGGGGACTGGTGTGCACAGGAAACTGTGCGGAGCAGAGCTGAGCTCCTTGGGCTCAGATCCCTCATTCCCTAAACAACATAGTATAGTAAGTGCTTACATTATTTCACACATGTGTGTAACGTCAAAATACTTGCAAGTACACAAGAGAATGTCATTAGGTTTTACATATACAGCTGTGCACACACACACAGATAGTATACAAAGATCATACTATCTCATATAAGGTACTGGGTATCTGTGGATTTTGGAATCCTCAGAGTTTCCTGAAGCTAACGTGTGGATAGCGAAGCATACCTGTGTATCTCAGCACCCCTTTAGCTATCCACATGTGAAGTGTACGAGTTTATAATCAAGATAATGACCTTCCTCTCCACCGTGCCTTTCTGTAGGCCTTGAAGGAAATTCATTACATACATACTGAGTGCCTATTGGATGCTATCAAAATGTTACCAAATGAAATGCTACTGGGAATTTATATATTTTTACAACCAAGATTTGACTGTTGTGATTATCAAAATAACAAATGCCTTAGCCAAAAGCTTATAAAGTGCTGACTGTAGAAACAGAATCTCCTTTTCAAAGTAATAAGCTCTGGGACTTTCTGAAGAATGAATCACAATGCTTTCCTTTAATTGGAGATGCTTATGGAGTTATTCTGTAAGATATCAGGGCCAGAGGGACCAGTGTTGTGGATTAACGGGTTAGACTGCTATCGACAGCAGCAATACTCCATCTGGGCACCAGTCCAAGTCCCAGCAGCTCCACTTCTGATCCGGCTCCCTGTGAGGGCATGAGGGAGAGCAGCATGGGACAGTCTCAGAGCTTGAGTCTCTGGTCCCCACGGGGAAGAGCAGGAGGGAGTCCCTGACGCTTGGCTTCTGCTGCAGTCACTCATGGAGTGAACCAGCAGATGGAGGAGCTCTCTCTGGATCTCCTTCAAAGAAATAAAAACATAAAAACCTTTCAAAAATACATTAGTGCCACAATAACTCAAACAATTGATATAAAAACAGTTGAATGGACCAAATTAGCCCAAGAACAGATATGACTGCTTCACGTATCTTACTATCTATGAAATCAGTGTGTAATGAAGGAACTATCAAAAAGAATGATTAAGTGTTCATTAAAAATGGACTGTTAGGGAAAAGTAACATTTCTATATGTCAAAAATAAACTAGAAATTAATTTAAAATCTGAATCTAAAGATTGGAAGCACAGGAAATGAAGAGTAAATAAAAGATGTTTTTGATTGCTAGATGGGAAAGTGTCATTAAAACAAAAAAAAATTAAAAACCACAAAAGAAATTATCAATGCATCTTATTTGGTATAAGTGTAAAATTTTTGAATTTTATATGTAATGAAGCTTAAAGCATGTGCAAAACTAGGGAAATATTGGTGGACTTTCATTAGATGTGGAAAATTCCAATAAATTGATGAGAAATATCGCAAAGTACATTTAAAAAGTTGACAAAGGAGGGCCCAGCACATTAGCCTAGTGGCTAAAGTCCTCACCTTGCATACACCAGAATCCCACACGGGCATCAGTTCATGTCCTGGCTGCTCCACATCCCTTCCCATCCAGCTCCCTGCTTGTGGCCTAGGAAAGCAGTGGAGGACAGCCCAGGGCCTTGTGGCCCTGCGCTTGTGTGGGAGACCCAGAGGAAGCTACTGGCTTCGTATCAGCTCGGCTCTGGCCATTGCGGCCGCTTGGGGTGTTAGCCAGTGGATGGAAGATCTTTCTGTCTCTCCTTTGTGTAAATCTGCTTTTCCAATTAAAAAAAATAAATATTTATAAAAGGAATCAGCAAAGGAAAGACTAGCTCACAAGGGAGAAGATGTCAACAGAAAATAAATAGATGGAAACTCCAGGTAGTAATCTAAGGACTATAAACTAATGCAAAAATGAAATATCACTGTTAGCTGTTGGCAAACATACGTATGCACTTGTAATGTGTGTGGATTTAAACTTACAGTACTCAACAACAATTAACGCATGCCGAACTGTCGGTCTACTGCTGAGATTTTAGCTGCTGCAACATTTTTGAGAAGCACCTTGGCGACTGTATCAGCAGCTTCAAAAATGTCTAGAGTCTTTGATCTAGAAGATTATGAATCTATCAGTAGAAATAATTAAAAGCCTCATCAAAAATGTATATATGGAGTTTGTTCAACACAGCATTACTTAAAATACTGCAAGAAACAGAAAAATGAAAATGCCCCCCGATATTTTTGCATATTCAACAGAATAGCTGCATATTCATTAAAACACATTTTGGAAGAGTTCTTAGCAATACTGAATGCTGCATACATCGCAAAATGAAAACACATATATGGAATAGATGCGATTGTGTTGAAAAACTTTGAACCTCAAGTTAGATCCATTTATCTGCCTCCACCATTCTTGCAGATTTCTTGCAAAGACAGGAAAAGTGTACCCTAAATTCATGATTATGTAAGCACCTCCAGAAGCCCAGAGGAACCAAGGGCTTCTTGGTGAAAAACAAGATAAAATAAAATAAAAACGCAGAGAGTGGAAGCCTGCGGGAAGCACAGATGATTTTAGAAAGTCCTGTGTCCATCTAAAGGGCGTTTCCTTGTAAGAGAACTCAGAAAATAAAGTGAAGAAATGGTCAAAAGATTCGAGGAACCAAAGTTCCAGGACCGAAGACAGACCAAGTCCACAACGGAATGAAGACGAACAAGCCACCAGAAAAGGCGGCGTCTAGATGCAGTGTTAAACTGTGTGACGGCCGACTTCAATGTTTGTCCAAAATACTTTATCTTAAAAGAAGGCAATAAACGCATATCAAAACCATAAACAAGGGCCCGGTGCATTAAACATGAACATTTAACATTCTTGTCAGCATTATAAATAAATGAAGAAAATCGGAAGAAAATTTGTAGATAATCAATGCGTTGATGGCATAGACTGATGATGACTTCATGGCTGCGTATTTTATCTGCAAATTTGTCAAACTGTGTAATTTCACATGTACATCTTGGGATATATCAAATTATATCTTCATAAAGTGATTTTTAAGACGTTTCTCTTACCTACGTGCAATAGGTAAACCACCATCAAGCAATGTTTATCTACGAGCATCAATCACAGTTCCTGACTACCATTTTTTCATTTCTGCTCACTCCATCTCCAAATAAAAGACACCTGTTCTCGTCAAGAGACATGACTCATCACAGCTTTGGGTGAGGCAATGTGGAGGGCTAATGAAATATTTACTCCTGCCAGAAAACATGAAAGTGACCAAAGATATCAGAGGGCATAACACAGGAATCTGAAGCTAGCTTAAAAGACCTCTCACTTGGCAAAGACCTAAAAATGAAAATATCAAAAATAATAGTCCCTCTGAAGAATTAGAGCACATCAAATATTGCAGTATTTTACATTCATCATGAGTTTCAACATGGACTAGTTAGCCTTGTAGAGCTCTGAGATCCAGTCTGCTCATCTGTAAGCTGAGCAGAGACAGACACTATGTCATAG